TTGGAATGAAGGATTGATAGATGAAGATGAAATAAATCATATTTATGATATTAAAAACAGAATTACATTTAAAGAAGAGTGTGAATGTTCTACTATTTTCAGTGTTCTTAAAACAAACTCTCAAATTGAAATGAGTTTTATTACTCATCAACAACAAGAAGACCAAATTGTTTCTGAAGAAGTGGAGTGGAGTGATTTTTGTGGGTTTGATAAACCAGTAATTCTAATCTATGATGATACAATTAAAGAGAAAGAAGAGTTTTGTTGTCATTTAGAATTGAATGATGCAATAGATATTGGGGCTACTTATCCAAATCCAAGAATTATCAAAGAAGACAATACTAAGAAAGCGTATGAATGGAAAGGAACATATTGTAGTGATGGAGTATCAAATTGTGTAATTGAAATAAATAACAAACACTTTGACTATTTATTCTGGGAAGGTGTTTGTTTGAAGAAAGAAGAGTTTAAAGGAAAAGAAGTTGGCATAACACATGAAAATATTTCTAATGAATTAGAAGTATTGTTAAAAAAATTGGGAATGAATGAGAGAGAAATCAATGATTTCATTGTTTACTGGATTGCAAAATTAAATAAGAATTATTACAAAGTTACAATTTGTGATTCATCATATGATAATGAAATTGCCCAACTAAAAATAAGTGGGTTTAATCAAACTCATAGAATAGCATTAAAATTTGAAGAAGTTGAAAATATTAATAATCTCCCAACAATTGATAGTGTTGAAGAAAGACAAAGACCAACAGGAAAGTATGTCATTGAATGGGGAGGAATCATTGCTTAATCCTTTAATCTATTGATAAATTCAATTAATCAATAGTACTTCAACTCATATTTAATTAACTATAATGATTTTTAAACAATTTATTACTTTCTACTACCCTTTTGATTAATATCAAATTACTTGTTTTTATTAAACCAATACATTCACACTTTCATTAATAAACAATACACAAACAATTTTAATCAATAAAACGTTAATCGAATTGTTTAGTTCTTAGAATTAATAGAATCAACGATAATTTGTTTTGTTATTGTTAATTAATTTGACCAATATAATTAATTATATACAAGTTCATTCCTATTGTATTGTGTTTAAAACTACAATAAATATAAGTTATTAATTGTTAACATTTATTAGTTACTTTGATTAATATAGATTAGATCAAATGATAATTGAACAATTAAACAATCATTGAATACTAAGTTATTTTAATTCATATTTAAGATAATTAGAATACATTAACAACTATAATATTATCATATTTATTGAATTTCCAATATTAAAACATGAAACACAATGATAATTTAAATGTGTTTATAACTAATTTCAATAGAATCAAGAATAAATAGAAAGATGATTAATATAAAAATAGACAAACAATAGAAATGAATGATATTATGAAAAGGAACACAAAACTTCTTATTTAAAATATGAATTAAGTAATAAATAATCTTAAATGAATAAGATAGAAATTTCATTAATAATACTTAAATAGTGCAAACAATTATCATAATATTCAAAAGGAAATACAATGTTTATGATTATTTCAATATTACATCATTGAAATATATCAAATTTAAAAAGATTTTATTGTTATTTCATGTTAATACTTTATCAAATAAATCAATTCAATAATACAAACTATGTATTTATTGATTATTTACACTTTGTTATCAATAAATATCAGTATCAATATTAAGTTTTTAAAGTATACTAAACGAGATTATTATAAGTGTAAAGTAATAAAAATAAATAAGAAGAATGAATAAATTAATAGAGATTAATTTGTAATCATTGTTTGTATTTGTAACATACCACATTACCCATTTTATATCATCACTTCTATCTTTTATAACAAGTAAACTAGAAACAACAAAATCAAAGAACTATAAAATGAAAATAACTAAGCACATAATAATAAATGCAAACAAACCCTGATGGTTAATACAACATTGAAATGGTTAATATGATGAATAGTCAACTATCAATGAAGAAAAACCAATCAAACAGGATAAGAATGAAAAAGAAAGGATGAAAAGAGAAATAGAGAAAAGAAATTATCATCAGATTAAAACAAGAAAGATAGACAAACAAAAAGTAAGAAAGAAGAATTATGAACACATCAAAGATTAAATTGAAACACAATATTCAAACACACCAAATTATCAAGAAAACAGCAATATTATTAAAGAAGGATATCAAAGAATTAAAAAAGGAGAAATTATCAATGAAAAAGAATATCAAGAAGAAACAAAGAAATGTGGATGGAGTGTTGGGATGATTTAACAATTATTTCAATGATAAAAAAATATGGAATTTGTGATAAGAAAGAAATATATCATAACCCAATTGTTCAATGTCAATTAGAAGAAATAAATGGAATTAGAAATGAAGAATGTTGTTAAAAAGTTATTTCAGACGAATTAAATATATTGTAGAATTAATAACAATTAAATGTAAATTATAATTCATTCTATAAATTATCACATCCAAAATATTAATTACTTAATTAATTACATCATTAAATTGTTCAATAAAACATAAATCATCATAAACATTAAAACACTCTTCAGGGAATGTTTTATTTTGTATTTCAGTTCCATTAAAACAACCCTTTTCATAGTCAGTTTTATTAATATCACCCACTTCCATTTGAGCTATTGTACAATTGTAAACAGCATTCTTTTCAATCACTCTCACACTTCTTGGAATAGAAATCTTCTGAATATTCATATCTTTGAAACAATATGAGGCTATTCTTGTTACTCCTTCTTGAATATTGAAAACAACATCTTCTTCATTAATATCATCATGCATTAACCAACACTCATCACAGATCACACCATCCTCTTTCAGTAATGAACATATCTTATATCTTACATTCCCTTTCATTTTTTTCATTCCCTGTGTATCTATTTTCATTAATTTAGAGCAATTAAGAAAAGATTGTGGTGAGATAGATTGAAGATTATTTGAAATCTTTATTCTGGTTAATGCCTGACAATCGTTAAAACATCCTTTTGGTATTTCTTCTACATTTTTAGTATCAACAAGTTCAATGCATCTACATCCCCTAAGGAAGTATTCTGGTAACTTCTTCAGTTGGTTGGATAACGTGATTGAAGTAAGACTATCCATATATTGAAATGTCATTGACTTTATTTCTGTGATTGTGGATGGGATATTGATTTCTCTGATTGAATACTCTCTCATAAACACATTCTTTTCAATTACTTCAACACCATCTGGTATTGATCCTTGATACTGAATTTGGTCTTCTTTACAATAACAATCCTTGCTAGAACACATCTTTTGATGGTTGTGAATCAGTACTCGAATAAAGTGTGGGATTTGTGTCTTCATTGTGTTATGACTGTTATACTCAATGATTGAAAGTCTTGGACACTCACAGAATGACCACTCCCCTATGGAAGCAATCTTATCACTAAATGTTACTTTGCTCAAGTTATTACAACAAAAGAAACAATGACTTCCAATCTTTTCAACTTCACTCAGATCAATTGAATCGATTGTGCTTGTCTCAAAACTCCCATCTCCTATTTCAACACATCCACTACACAACTTCCAATCTTTTTGTTGAATATCTTCTTTACTCATTCTTTTCTCAGTAATAATTATACCAGCTCTTTCAAAGACTTGTGATAATTGATAATCCATTCTTGTTGGTATTATTTTATTTCCAGTATTAGAAATGTGTTGAATAGAATTACACATCTTGAAGCTATCTCTCCCTATCTCAGTTAGGAATGATGAAATTGTTAATGACGTAAGTTGTGAACACATATTAAAACAATTATCTCCAATTTTCTGTACATTCTTCAAGTCTATTTCTTTCAATGAAAAACAGTTCATAAAACATCTATCTGGAAGTGTTTTGAGTTGAGTTGATAGAACGACTTCATTAGTTCTCATAGGAAAGTGAAATCCACTTCTTATCTCTCTAACCATAGAAAAATCAAATTTCACATGTTTTTCTTCTAATAACAAGTTTTGATTAATAATGTTGACAACATTAATTTCACTTGGTTTTAAGTATCCTTCTCTATTCTTTATTTGTAAACATTTCCAATCTCCATTTCTTTTTTGAATCTCATTGTATTCATCAATAGACATTTCATATTCACACAGATGAACATCTATATTCAACACAACATCATTTCTATGGTAATGATGTTGAGTATGGATATTAGGAAAGAATTCTTCCATTCCTGATGTAATTGCAATTGGATTATAATGATAAAAAGTTAAAATTTTATTGTATTTAGTACACACCATAATCAGTTTAATGAAATCATTTTTAGAATGAAAATAACATCCAACAATGACCATTTCAAACAAACTTAATTTAGTTTTCATTTTTCTTATATCTTTTTTAGTTTAGAGTTTCAGATTCATTAGAAAATGTTGATACAAATACTCTAACATCATTGTTCTGATTCTTGTCATCAGTAACTATGGTTTGATCAAATGATAACAATCATTTGTGATTCCACAATAACCAAAAACATATATCAAATCTCAACAAAACATTAAACTACTTTTTATATTCTAATTAATTAGATTATTCTTTACAATAATGACTAAAATAAAACAAAGTGATAATGACAAGAATTGTTGTTTGTTCATTTAATTTAACAACATATAAATAATACAAAATACACTATAAAACAGAGTATTTATCAAAGAAAAAATAGTCATAGTAATTAATAATGAATTAATTGTTCAAAAATCTATTTAATATTAGTACAAAACATATTTTGTTGTATGATTGATAAATATCGTTGGAATTAAATGAAATTAAATGAAAGAAAGGCATTGTATAAGAGAAATAAGAAAGATAAAATAAAAACAGTTGAAGATAGGAGCTATAAATGGATGAATCTCTAGAGAAGAATAAATTAATCACAAAACATAGTTTTAACATAAAAAAATAAAACAATTAAAGAAAGAGAGATTAAAGTTTATGATTAAAATAATAGAAATTGTCAGTTAATGATGGATGAATGAAATTGATTTGAACAGAATTATATGTGCAATTTGGTAATTTTCTGAGATAGTTATAATATTTAATAAATTCGTTATTATGATATAGATTTAATTTGTTGAGGAATTTATTGAAAGGTCGTTTAAGAGGTAATTCTCTTTGGTCATAGTCGAGTGTGAGTAAGTGGTTCAATTTAACGATTGTTTTTAGATAAATTCCTTGACAATTTTTGATGATGAGAACTTTTAGATAATTAGTTTGTAATAAAGATTTAACGTTTTTTGTTTCTTCAATGTATTCAAGACGAAGAGATTTTAGTTGTTTCATTTCATTAAGTAGAAGAAGATCTAAAGATTTCATTCTTTTAATCCAAAGAGAAGTTAACATTTGAAGAGGATAAAAATTGATTTTATTGAAAGAAATAATACAATCTATAAATTTAATAGTTTTAGTTTCAATAGAATTTAAAAGAGAATTGATAGTTGATTCGTTACACCTACTTATTTCTAAATGATGCATAAAGATGTGTTTGTTTTTGACTTTTAAATTTAAAGAATTTAATAAAGAAAAAGTTGATTTGTTTTGAAGAAAAAACGTCATTTGGGAATAGTCAAACCATTGAGTGTAATTGAATGGGATAATAACATGGTTTAACATAAAGATAATTTTAAGTTGTTTAGAATAATAAAGTAATTGATTGAGATCAAACATAGAATAAGGTCTTTTAAATAAATCATCTTTTATTATTAATTTTTTCAAAAGGTTTAATTTCATTAAATGATTGAAAGAATAAGTTCTTTCAAGTAATTGAGAAGGATCTAAATGGAGAGTGAGAGTTTTTAATTTATAACAATATTGAATATTTAAATCATCTTTACATTCAAGTTCTTTAAGAGAAGTCATTAACATTAAAGCATTTCCACCTTTTGATTTTGTTTTAAAAACTTTTAAATGAGGAATAAATGAAATATTAGAACAATCCATTTCATACATAAATGATATAATCTTCAAATATTTAAGATTAATAAAAGAAGTTAACTGACCTAACCAAATAGGTCCAAGAGAATCTATAAAAGATAATTCTAAATGAATAATATTTTCTGGATAAACAATACATTGAAGTTCATTAATTCCATAAAGAGAAAGTGCATAAAAATGGAAATTAGAGATATGATAATTTGGGATAGCAATAAGTGGTTCTCTATTTTTAACTAAAGTTAAACAATCAAGATATTTAAATTCTAAATTTTGTTTATTCCATTGATTTCCAGTAAGATTATAGTATTTATTTATTAATGAAATTATCTTAGACCATTTAGAATTGATTAAAATTCCTTTTTTTATTTCTTCAATTGGAAGATAACAAATAATTGTAGTGATATAACTTCTTTTCATTCTTTTAATTAAAAAGTTATGATAATATTTTATCATCTTATCATTTTATTTTGTAAAAATCTAATCAAAAATCTTTTATTTTTTATGATTTAATTAGTAATATGGTTGATAACCTGTTGTTGTATTAACTCCATATAATGGATGTCCTGGTGGATAAATATTTCCTCCCATTCTTTCAGTTCCAAATCCCATATATCCATTATTTTCTGTTCCTAAAGGTAATTGTGGTGGAACAGGTCCTCCAAATTCTACATAACAAACATTTCCTTGACCAATTGGTGTTTGTGGAATATTTTCTTGTATTGGTGGATATTGATTTTCTTGTGAAAATCCTTGCATTGGTGGTTGTTGTTGTGGAAATCCTTGCATTATTGGTTGTTGTTGTTGTGAAAATCCTTGCATTATTGGTTGTTGTTGTTGTGAAAATCCTTGCATTGGTGGATATTGATTTTCTTGTTTTATTCTTGTTTGTTCTTCTATCATTCTTCGTTTTTGTTCTTCCATCATTTTTTGATTATATTCTAATTCTTGTTGCATTCTTAATTTCTCTTGTTCTTGTTTTTCTTTCATTTCTTGTTGTTCTTTGATCATTTGTTGTTTTTGTTCTTCCATTTCTTTTAATTGTGCTTGTCTAAATTTTTCTTGTTCCAATTTCATTCTTTCTTGTTCTTGTCTCATCCTTTCTAATTCTTTCTGATGTTCTATTTTTTGTTGTTCCATTTGTTCTTGAAGATTACAATTCATGAGTCTTTTCTCTTCTTCAAATGCTTGTTCTTGTTGTTTAAGAAGTTTCTCTTTTTCTTCTATTTCTTGTTGTTGTTTTTTCATAACTTCTTCTGTTTCTCTTTCTCTTTCAATGTAATTTATGTTTTGATTTTCCATCATTTCTTTTGTTTTAAAGACTTGTGAAAATAATGAAATATATAACATCATTGCTCGTTCATCTGTTTGACATTTTACTATTTCATCTACACTAAATAATTCTTCAATTCCCATATTTTCATGTGCCATTTCAATTGCTTTTTTAACTCTTTCTTCATTACTACAATTTTGATAACTTTGATAAATTTCTTTTCCCATAAAATTATCAACAAGAGCAAGTAAAATTCTTCCATCTCCAAATGATGTTGATGGATTATCAACATAAAGTCCATATCCTTTAACTTTTTCATTAACCCAATTCCAAATCATATTATCTATTTTATTTCCTGTTTTAAATTTATTATTACTTTCATCTGAAACACTTCTACAAATACAATATTTTCTATATAATGAAAACATCATTCCAAGAATAAATTTATATCCACTTTCTGAATCTGCCATATTTTCTGCTGAACATCCAATAATTTCATTATTATTTTCTTTTAAAAAATTTAATATTTCTGAATAATTATTAATATCATAAATTCTTCCTTTCCCATTATTTAATTTCTTTCCAATACTTTTTCCAATTAATGTCTCAACAAATTCTTTAAAATAAAAAGGTGTTAATCCTGTTTTAATATTATTTATTATTCCTTTTTGACTTATTAATGAATTAATCCATTTTGTAAATACTTGTTCTTGAACTCTTTCCCATTGTTGTTCATTTTGATTAGACATGATATGTGTGAAATTTTGATTTATGAGTTTAAACTTTTCTCATAATTTTAAGATAAAGAAAAATGTTTAGTTAAAATAAATACAATAATACTCTCTATTAAGAAAAAACTATATTACAATGAGGAAAAGAATTTTGATTAAAGATAAAAATAGTATTTTTGTTTTTTGTTTTTAAGATTTTAAAATATAAAAAACAAAAAAAAATAAGAATTAGAATTAAAAAACATAAAATGACAGATTCAGCATGGGGAATATTGGAATGTACAAATTCAAAATATCCATCTATTCCACTTTATGATACAACAAATATATTTGGAAGAAATAATACAACAATGAAAATAAGAAATCTTACAATTTCATCAAGACATTTCATTATTCAAATTAAACAAGAAGGAAAAGAAAATAAATATATTTGTATTGATACATCAAGAAATGGAACATATATAAATAATGAAATTATGGGGAAAAGAATGACAACAAAAGAAATTAAAATTTATGATGAAATTAGTATGCTTGATCCACAAAAAGATGAAGGAAGTATATCATATATATTTATTCCATTTGAAGAACAAAAAAAAGAAAAAAGAGAAGGAGGACCACAAAATAAATATGATATTGGAAAATATTTAGGAAGTGGGAATTTTGCACGAGTAAGAGAAGTAATAGAAAAAAATAATAAACAAAAATATGCAATAAAAATTATTGATCGTCAAAAAATGAAAGAAATAGGAGAAAATGAAAAAATAATATTAAATGAATATTCTATATTAAAAAAACTTCATCATATTAATATTATTCAATTAAATGATGTATTTCTTACACAAAAATATTTTTATTTAGTATTTGAATTGTTTGTTATTATTAAAAAAATAAAAAATAAAGAAAATTAATATAAAAAAGAGTAGATGGAGGAGATTTATTTAAATTAACATTAAATAAAGGATGTTTAAATGAAAAAGAATGTAGAATTGTAATGAAACAAATATTTTATGGACTTAAATATTTACATCAAAATAAAATAATTCATAGAGATATTAAATTAGAAAATATTTTATTAACATCAAATGGTATTATTAAAATATCAGATTTTGGTTTAAGTAAAGATACAAAAAAAAGTATTGCAGAAACAATGTGTGGAACACCAATGTATGTATCTCCCGAATTACTTAATGGTCAATCTTATAATGAAAAAACAGATATTTGGAGTGCTGGTGTAGTATTATATACAATTGCATGTGGTTTTCAACCATTTAGAAGTGAAAATGAAATAGAAGATGGAAAAGGTGGAAATAGAGAATTATTTGATTTAATACTTAATGGATATTATCAATTTATTTCACCATATTGGGATAATATTTCACTTGAACTTAAAGATTTAATTAGTCATATGTTAATTGTAAATCCAAAACAAAGATATGATATTGAAGAATGTTTATCACATCCATTTATAATTAATACTAAAAGAGATCATTTAGATTTAAATCAACCATTTATAAAACGAGAATATGATAGATAAAATTTAATATTAAAAATTTCTAAAGAAAAAAAAAAAAAAAAAAAATAAATGAAACTAAATTGATCTTGTAATTAAAAATTAAATATCTTTTATTTTCATTCTTTTAAAATTAATTAAATTAAATCAAAAAAAAAAAAACCAGTTTTTGAAATATTAATTCGAAAATCACAACATTTAAAGGAAAATACATCCTCCACTTTTCTTTTTTTTATTACCTTCTTCTTCTTCTTCATCTTTTCCATTCAAATATTTATATTCGACATTATCCTTATCTCGTTAATGTAAATTCTTTAAATTTCTTCAAAAATATATTAAACAAACTTCTTCTCCAATATCTTCTTGATACGTTGCTAGTGTTGTACCATTATCTAACCATTTTTTTGCTGATGGTAAATATAATCCAATTCCATCTTCTGGTGGCATATGTAATGCTTCTGCAATAAATTCTATTGATGCTTTTACTGTTAATTCTCCATCAACTCGTAATGTTTTATAAATAACTGGATAAGTTTTTGGGAATCTAATACGCATAGTAACAACCTTAGTCATTTTTTGAACTGCGTTTAGCTTTTATAGTTTCTTTTTTCCCCCTCTTTATCTTATTATTTCATTACTATACTTTATTATTCCTCCCTCTTTCTCTTCTCTATTTTTATTTTTTATTTTTTTTCCTTAAAATAGTTATTTTGTTTTTCTAATTCATAAAAAAAAAAAAAATAAAAAAAATAAAACATTTATTTAAGTTTCTTCTTTTCCATATTCTAATCCTGCTTTTTTCATTAATTTTACATATAATCTAACTGCAAGTGCAACAAATTTATTAATTATAAAATCTGGTAATGGTACTGAAATATCTGTTTGAGTCATTAATGTACATAAACAATCTTTTCCTTGTTTTCTAAATACAAATCCACTAAAATTAACATATCCTCTAATAAATCCTTTTAATCCTATTGGTGCTTTTTTATGTTCTGCTGGAAGATAAACTCCAATACAACAATTTTCTGTTTCAATTACTTCTCTAACATGTATATAATCTCTTTGTTTAAACATTTTAGGTGTCCATGTTGCTGTTCTACTTACTCTATTTCCATTTTCTAAAATCTCAAGATCTTCAATTACTGTATAAAAATTATCCCATTTTTTTCTTTTTGTATAATCCCAATATAATTCACTCATTTTTTTAGGTGAAATATTAGGAATAATAGTTCTTGCTACTCCATTCCATGTACTTCCATTAACTTTTCTTCTCCAAATATCTACTCCTGATGAATTTGAATATAAATATCTTGGATCTGATGCTTCATCCATTAATAAAATTCCTGCAAAATCTTTATTTTGAATATAAGGAATAAACATATTTTTATTTTGACTTTCTCTTTCTTTTTTTCTTAATGTTTTCATAATATCATCTAAATCATTATAATTAAGTTTTTTTTTAATTTTTTCTATTTCTTTAATTCTTTTATTATTTTTTTCTTCTTTTTCTAATAAATTTATTTCTGTATTTTCACTATTTGTTATTATTATTTCTTCTTCTTTTAAGATTTCTTTTGAATTTTCTTCTTCTTTAATTGTTTCTTTCAATTTTAAATATTCTTTTTGTTGATTTTCATTTTCGTTCATTATTTATTTTATTTATTTTTTTAATATTATTTCTTTTAAATATAATTGTCTTTTCATTTATTTATTATTTTAAAACTATTTTTTAAATCTTTGAGAAAAAGAATGAACTTAATTATAAATTTATTCTTTTAAACAAACAAATTATCTTGACGATTAATTTCATCATACAAATGTTCAAACTTTTTACTAAATACTGGTAAATCTTTTGGCATTAATGGTTCATCTTTCATATCTGGAATTGATGAATCTATTTCCATTTCTTCTAACATTTCTGGTTTATTTTTAATTTCTTCAAAAAAGTCTTCCATTTGTGCTGTCATATCATCATCTTCTTCTTCATTTTCTTCATTATCTTCTTCTTCTTCATATCCGTAATCTTCTTCTTCAATTTCTTCTTCAATTTCTCCTGTAGTTTCACTTGCTTCCATAAGTACTTTATTTATTTCTTCATGACATTCATTTACTTCTTTAATTATATCTTCTCTATTTAATCCTACTTCTTCTAAAATATTTTCATATTCTTTATTTTCTTGCATTTTAAATATTATTTCATTACAAAATGTTTTAAATTCTTGATTCTTTTCTTCAATCTTTTTTTTAATAAATTCCATTATTCCACTTTTTTCAATTATTCCAATTACAATTTCTTTTAATTCCATTGAAATTAATTCTATAATTATTCTTGTTCCTGCTTTAATTATTATTGTTGATTCTTTATATTCTTCTAATGTCATTTTCTTAATGACTGCTTCTAAAACTCCTTTTTCATAAAGTGTTTTAATAATATTATATTGATGTGAATGTACTATCCATCCTACTGCTTCACTCCATATTTGTATTATATATTTTTGTGCAAGTGCTTCTTTTTTATCACTTTTTTTTGTTTCTGTAATTATTTTTTTAATTTCTTCAATATACCCTTCAAGATGTCCATAAAACATTGAACTTTCTCTAATAACCCCTGAATTCTTATCAACTCGATGTGTTTTCATTAATCGATTTAATGAAATAACTGCTTGTTCTTTTAGCCAATATTCTGTATCCTACATAGTTATATATATTATTTTTTCTTTTATTTCTTTTCTTTATAACAAACATCTAATGAAAATAATGCCTCAAAAAATGGTTCTATTAACTTTATATTTGTTGTTTCAACTAAATCTCTATTTGAATTTGAATCACTAACTAATAATGATATATCTTGAATTCTTTGTTCTCTATTTTTTTTAATATTTTTATCTTCTTCTTTATTTTAAACAAACTTTGTGTTGCTCATATTTCTTTTTTTTTGTCCTTTAATTTTTTAGTTTTAGTTCTTCTTTGTTTTTTATTTTTGTTCTGCTTTTTTCTTTTTCTTTATTAAAATTTCTCTAATTATTTTATCCTTTCTTATTATTTTATTCTTCTAACTCTATTTTGTATCTTCTTCTTGTTCATCTTTATCCCTCATATCATTCTTTTGATTTATTTATTGTTTATTTGAAATTACTATTCCTTCTGATGATTAAAACGTTGAACACTCCCTTTCTGTTAATTTTATTAACACCATTAGTATTCCTTCAAATTTTTTTGATAATAATAATTTATGTGACAATCAATTATTTGTTTCATTACATACATTAATTTTAATATATTTTGTTATGTTTTTATTGTTTGGTAATGAAATAAATTGTCATAATAAGTCTGTTCAGCATCAAGAACATTACTATTAAATAAAATCTCATAAAAATGATAAAGATGAAATGGAAATATCAATAAAATTGTTAGTTGTTCTAACAGAAAGAGTTAAAGAAATTAATACACACAAATAAGAAACAAAAATAAAAACAAAAGAAAATAATAAAAACCATCCCACTATATTGTTATATATTTCTATTTCATTATCAAATTCATATTATTATAAATAAGAAATGTTTTTATAAGAAATATCCTTTTCAAATAATAATCATTGTTTGTTATTAGATAATATCAATGAACATCTTTTTCTTAATCAATTTTATCATTAATTCAAATTAATTTATTCTTCATTATTAAAAAAAAAACAAAAGAAGAAGAATTGAATTTATAAATTTTGTGATATTTATTAAAAAATGATTGATTAAAAAAAAAAAATCAATTTAAATAATAAAATTGATAAACAAAATAAATGAAATAAGTAAAGATTTATAATATTCATGGATTATTATGTCTTATAATTCAATTATTTCTTTATTCTTTTTTTTTTTAAAAACAAAAAAAAAACACATAAATTAAATATAAAATTGATAGAGACAATAAATTAGATTGATTCAATATGCCAGTCTTCTTTATTTGGATTAATTGTAATAAGTAAATTATGAAACATAGAACGTAAAGCAGTATAATCAGGTTTTTCATTAAATTGAAGTTGTTTAGTATATTCCAAATAATCAACAAATTCATGAGGAAGACCATCACAAAGTTTTGATGGAATTATTTTCATTTTCATATCACCAATACCTGTATATTTACCATCAGGTGAAGATGATAAATCTTGCCAAGGTAAAGTACCTTTCAATAAATAAACAAAAAGATAACCTAAACTCTCTAAATCATCTCTTCTAGAGAGTTCCATACCAAGATGAGCATGAATAGATGCATAACGTGCTGTTCCAACCAAACCATATCCATCTTTCATTTGAATATGTTGTCTTGTTTCAAATCTTCTATATCTTTTAGCTAATCCAAAATCAATTACATAAATTGTGTTATTATCTAATAAGAAATTATTTGGTTTTACATCTCTATGAATTATTGATTTACTATGAATGACTTCTATAAAATAAATAAATGATATAAAACAATTTTATTTTTTTTCTTTTAAGATAATTACTACAAACCAAAACGTGATAATAATTGTTCTGCAATTAAACATACAGAAAGAAGCGATAATTGATGTTTTATTTTCATTAAATCTTCTAATGAAGGACCTAATAATTGCATTACTAAAGCATTGTAATCACCTTCAGTTCCATAATGATAAATTTTTGGAAAACCTATTTCATCAATAAATAAAGAATAAACACGATGTTCAAATGCTAATTGTTGTGGCTTTCTATCATTCTTTTCTAATTTCACAGCACATTTTGAATTATCAATAACATCAATAGCAGAATAAATTTCACCAAAAGAACCACCACCTATTTTATGAACTAAACGATATTGTTCAGCAACTCTAAATTCCATAATGATAATAATTAAGTTCATCTTTTTTAGTAATTAAGAAAAGAAGAAAAGAAAATGCAACCAAAAATTAATTCAGAAGAAACAGACATTTTAGCACAAGAAATCATTAATCAGATGATTAAACAAAATAAAAGACAAAGAGAAGAATTAAAAGTTGAATGGCCTAAAGTAGAAAAGAAAGAAAAGAAAGAAAAGAAAAAAGAAAGTAAAGAAGAAGAAAAGAAAAAAGAAGAAATTGAAAAAGAACTTGGGATTACTAAAGGAAAGATTAAATTTAAAAAAATAGAAAAGAAAAGAGAAGAAAAAATAAAAGAAAAGAAAGATAAAGAGATAATTAATAAAAAAGAAAAAATTGAAGAAAATAAAAGAATAGAAAAAGAATTAAAAGAATTTGAAAAGATGATAGAAAAAATGAATAACAAAAATATAATAAATGATAAATAAAAAAAATTATAGAATTAGGGAAAAAATGGTTTATAATTTAGAGGAAAAAACTATAAAAATAATAAAAAATTAATAGAGAAAAAAAGTAAAGGTGAACTAGAAAGTATAAATAATAGAATGGCATACGCAAGAACAGATCTTCCATTAAATGGAGAAAGAGAAAGTGGAGCAGATGTTAGAACACAAAATGTTATGGCAGCAGTTGCAATTGCAAATGTTGTCAAAACATCATTTGGACCAGTTGGACTTGATAAAATGGTTGTAGATGATATTGGAGATGTTACAATTACAAATGATGGAGCAACAATATTAAAATTATTAGAAGTTGAACATCCAGCAGCAAAAGTATTAGTAGAACTTGCAGAATTACAAGATAAAGAAGTTGGAGATGGAACTACATCAGTTGTTATTCTTGCAGCGGAATTATTAAAATATGGGAATGAATTAATAACACAAAAAATTCATCCATCTACTGTAATTCAAGGATTTAGACTTGCAATGCAAGAAGCAGTTAAATTTATTAGAAAAATAGTTATTCATACAAAAGAACTTGATAGAAAAAATCTTGAAGAAGTAGCATTAACATGTATATCATCAAAAGTTATTGGAGGAGAAGAAGGAGAATTTTTTAGTAAATTAGCAGTAGATACAATTCAAAAAGTTAAAAGAATAGAAAAAGGGAAAAATAAATATCCAGTAAGTGGAGTTACAATATTAAAAGCATATGGAAAATCAAGTAAAGAAACAAAACTTATTGAAGGATGTGCAATAAATTGTGTTGTTGCAAGTGAAGAAATGCCAAAAGAAATTAAAGGATGTAAAGTTGCAGTTCTTGAAGTTGATTTAATGAAAGAAAAAATGAGACAAGGAATTCAAATAATAATAAACAATCCAGAAGAAATTGATAAATGTAAAGAAGAAGAAATGAAAATAGTATTAAGAAGAGTTCAAATGATTATAGAATCAGGAGCAAATGTAGTTTTTATATCAGGAGGACTTGATGAATTATGTACACAATATTTTGTAAAAAAAGGAATTGCAGTTGCAAAAAGAGTATCAAGTAGAGATTTATATAGAATTGGAAAAGCTACAGGAGCAAAAGTAATTTCAACATTAGTTAATTTAGAAGGAATAGAAGAATTTGATAAAAATAATTTAGGAGAATGTGAAACATTTAAACAAGAAAAAGTAGGAGATAATGAATTAATTGTTCTTAGAGGATGTTTAGATGGAGGATCAGCTACAGTACTTCTTAGAGGAGCAAATACAACAATGTTAGATGAAATGTCAAGATCATTTCATGATGCATTATGTGTATTAAGAAGAGTACTTGAAAGTAATACAGTAATAGTTGGAGGAGGAGCAACAGATGTTGGATTATCAGTTCATTTAAATGAATATGCTACAACATTAGAAGGAAGAGAACAATTAGCAGTTCAAGCATTTGCAGATGCACTTTGTGTAATTCCAAAAGTACTTGCACAAAATGCAGCTAAAGATGCAAGTGAATTACTTTCACAAATGAGAAAAAGACATTATGGAGCACAAAAAATGGAAAAAGTATGTTATGATGGATTAGATTTAATAAAAGGAGTTATAAGAAATAATCTTGAAGCAGGTGTAATTGAACCTTCAATAAGTAAAGTGAAATGTATTAAATTTGCTACAGAAGCAGCAATTACAATTTTAAGAATTGATGATTTAATTAAATTAAATCCAACTCCACAACCAAAACAAGGACAAGATTACTAATTTGGATTATTTTACAAAAAATTAATTAAATTTTTTTTTTTTTTTTGTTATTTTTATTAAATAATTAAAATAATAATAAATTTAAATTATTAAATTATTATATCATAATAAATTATTTCATCAATAAATTTTTTTATTGATGAAATAGGATTTATATTTGTACTAATATATTCTGATGGTTTATGAAGACCACATGTTATTCTTTGATTAATTAATGTTTCATAAATTATCATTTTATAATCTTTTTTTGTAATTAAGAAAATATTATTTAATTCCATTAAATTTTCATGTGATATTCCAAAAAATTGTAATTTAGTTTCACTTTTAATCATTGTAAATACAAATGGTTGTGTATTATATTGATTTTGAATTGATAATAATTTATAATTATCTTTTGTTAATATAAAAGCTGATTTATTTAATTTTGCTTTATCATTAATATATAATCCAAATACATTATTATCTATTTTAAATGTAATTAATATATTAGATGGTTTTTGATAAAATGGTGGTTGACTTATTTTATTTGTTTTTCTATTATAAAATCTAACTTGTTTAATATCTTTTCCATGACATTCTTTTAATATAAAATCTTTTGTTTCTTCAATAATTTTTTTTAATTCATGATTTTTAGATTGTATTCGATCTCCTTCTTTAAATGGTGCAATTTCTTGTTTTTCATATTTTTGTAAAATAATAGGATTATTTTGTTTTTGAATTCTTTGAATTGGTTGTTCAAATTTTTTTATTGTTATAATTGTTTTATCATTTGAATTTAGACTATTAATCATAGGATATTTTCTATTAAATTCTTCAAATATATTTTGTGCTTCTTGTATTCTTTTTATTTCTTTTTCTTGATATTCTTTTGCTTTCTTTTTAATTCCTTCAATAATTTCATTAATTTTTATTGTTTTTATATATTCTTTTAATTTTGTTTGAATTTCTTTATATTTAATTAATCCTTTCCAACATTGAATACATAATTCTCCTATTTTTTGATATTTTTCTTCAATAATTAATTCTTCTATTTTAATTGGTTCTTCTTTTTTTTCTAAATGTTCATCCCATATCCAATATGGAATATCTGGTATTTTTCCAATTAATCCACATAATAATGTTGTTCCTATTGCAAATATTTCTTCTTCTTCTTCTTCTTTTATTTCTTTTTCTGGTTTCATAAAGAAAGATGTCATTTGATCAATTTGTTCTTCAAGTTTTCTTTCATTTCTTTTTATTTGTTTCATTGTAAATTCCATATTTTCATTAATTATTATATTAAATATATTAATATTAATTCCTTTATATTCTTTAATATGTTCTATCATTATAATTATCCATATTATTTTTTCTTCTTTATTTAAATCTTTACTAAGATTATACCAATTACATTCTTTTAAACAACATTCTTTTTCAAGTTTTTTCTTTTGTTTTTTTATTAAATAATTTGAATCTATTTTTTTATTTTCTTTTATTGTTTCTATTCTTTCTATATTATTTAGTTTAGGAAATTCTATTTCTTTTTTTTTATCTATTTCTTTTTGGATTTGATATTTAATTTCTCTTTCTTCTATTATTTTATTTGTTTCAATCTCAAATAAAAATCCTATTGTTGTATTTATTTCTTTTCTATTTATTATTACTCCAAATATTATATAACTTTCTTCTCCACTTTTCATTTCTTGTTTAAAACTTCCTTTAATTTTTATTCCTTTAATATTTTCTTGTTCTTTATATTTAACTAAAACTTTTTCTTTTGTATAATTCCCAATAAAAATCATTACTTCTTTTTCGTTTTTATTCTGAGAACAATTCATAATAGTTATTTGAAAATCTTCAATCTTTCCTTTTTCTTTCTTTTTTTCTTCTTTTATTGTTTCTTCTTCTGGATAAATTATTATACTTTCAAAATAAACTTTTTTATTTCCAATATATTCTCCTGTATTTTCTTTAATAATTTTAAATATAATATTAAATGGTCCTTCACTATATTTATTAAATAAAATAAAACTTTCTTTCATTATTTTTTTTGTTTTTTCTTTAATAATTTCTTCTTCTTTTTTAGTTTTTAATGTAAATATTTGATTTTTATCTTCTTCTATTTTAATTCTAATTGCAATATCTTCTTGATTATCAATTTCTATTTTTATTGGTATTTCTTTTCCAATAACAATAACTTCTTCATTTTTAATACTAATATTAATTTTATTTTCTTTTTGTTTAATTTTTTGCTCTGTATTATTATTATCAATTATTTCTTTTATTTCTTCTTCTTTTTCTTTAATTTTAATATTAAATATTTTATTAAATTCTAATTTTTTATTACTAACTGAAATAAATTTGACTACAATTGGTAAATTAACTTCTTTATTTGAAATAGATGAACAAATAATTTCTTTTTCTATTATAGTACATTTATCATTTTGTACAATTTCATTATTACATTCTAATCCAATATCTTTATTTGAGAATGATATATTAAAATCATTATCTGAATAATTAAATATTAAAATTTTAATTTCTTGTGGATAAGGAGATGGTGTAATAAAAAGAATTTCTGGATCAATCATAATACAATTTAAATATGAATTAATATCAATTTGTGTAGTGATATCTTCTATTTTTTTACCTTGTTGTCTTCTTTTTTGTTTATTATGATTCTTTTTTCCCTAATAATAAGTTTTTTTATTTATGAAAGTGAGATGTAAATGAACAAACCATCTTAATTATCTAATTCATAGTTTTGTTTTAAAATTTTATTAATTGTTAATTCTTTATTTTGGACTTTGAATTATATTTGTTAATAATGAACAAACAGCAAAATGATATTGAAATAAGTAAAAGATTATCATACCTTCTTCGACATGGAGCAATTAAAGAAAGAATTCCAATTACAAAAGATGGATGGGTATTAATTAAAGATTTATTAAATAATCGACAAATGAAAGGAATTAGTGAAGAAGAAATAAAAAGTATTGTAGCAAAAGATCCAAAAAAAAGATATTCAATTCAAGGAGAAGGAAATCAAATAAAAATTCGAGCTAATCAAGGACATTCAATAAATGTTCAAGTAGAAATGAAAGAAATTACAGATGCATCATTATATCCTATTGTAATTCATGGAACATATATGAGAAATTTCAATTCAATAATCAAAAATGGATTACAAAAAATGGGAAGACTTCACATTCATATGGCACAAGGACTTCCAAAAGAAATAAAAGAAGAAAAAAGTGGAATGAGAAGTTCATGTAATATAATAATTTATATTGATATTGAAAAAGCAATGAAAAAAGGAATAAAATTTTATGAAAGTGAAAATGGAGTTATTTTAAGTGAAGGACCTATTGATATAAGTTGTTTTAAAGAAATAAGAAGATATCCATCATTAACAAAAATTTCATTTAACTGAAATAAGAAATAAATTAAATTAAATTTTTTTTTTAATTTTCATAAATAAATAAAAAAAAAAAAAAAAAAAAATAAATAAAAAAAAAAAATAGAAAGAAATATAAGTTCTAGTTAATATGGAAAGTTTAGGATCACCATTTGAAATTGGATTATGTCCTACACAATATCAAATGAAATTTTTACCAAATAAAGAAGAAGAAAGTAATGAAGATGTTACACCATTACATGTTTCAGTATTATATAATAAAGTAGAATTTATAGAAAGTTTAATTGTTGATTATCAAATTAATGTTAATTATCAAGATGATTTTGGAAATACTGCACTTATGATTGCTGCACAAACAGGAAATGTAGAAGCAGCAAAAGAATTAATTAAACATAAAGCATCGAAATCATTAGTTAATAAATATGGACAAACAGCAATTCTTGTAGCATTAAGATCAGGAAAAGCAGAAGTAGCAAAAGTAATAATTAAGTCATTAACTAATCCATTTCAAAATTTAAGTTCAACAGATAATTCAGGATATACAGTACTTCATTATGCAGGATATTGTAATGATGAAGAAATATTAAATATTATTGATGAATTATGTTATGTTGATGATATGATAGAAAATACAGTTAATCCAAGTTGTAGTACACCACTTCATTTTGCAGCAATGAATGGATGTGATAAAACAATTTCATGGTTATTAAAAAAAGGAGCAACACCAATGGTAGAAAATTGTATGGGACAAAGTCCACTTCTTCTTGGGATTAGAAATAAACATAAAGAAAGTATAGAAATATTATTAGAAGTATCAACAGGAAATATTCCAGATAATTATGGACAATTAGCACTTCATTATGCAGCAGCAGTTGGATGTGATATAGAAATAATAGAAAAAATATATAATAAATTTCCAAAAGCAATAAATAAAATGGATACAAATGGAAATTTTCCATTTCATCATAGTGTTAAATCAAATAATAAAAAAATATTAGAATTTTTCTTTACTACTACAGAAGGAAAAAATTTAATAGTTAAAAAGAATTCCAATGGATTAACACCATTAATGATAGCTGTTGCATGTGGAGCAAATGAATCATTTAAATATTTAAGAGATATAGGAAGTGAATTATATGTTAAATCAATGTCAGGAACAACACCATTTTTATTAGCATGTGGATATGGACAAAAGAAAATGGCAGAAATATTATTTAAAGATGATCCATCAGTAATTGGAGATTGTGATAATAATGGAAATACAGCAGTTCATTATGCAGTTCAAAATAATCAAATAGAAATAATTAAATGGATAAGAGGAATTGCACCAGAAATAATTAAAAAAACAAATAATATTGGAGAAAGTCCATTACATATAGCATGTCTTTGTGGATATAAAAATATTGTAGAAAGTTTAGAATTATTTGGACTTAGTATGATAGAAATAACAAAAAGTGGAAGAACACCATTTCATTATGCAGTATTAGGTGGACATTTAGGATTAGTAAGAAAAATAGGAAGAAATTGTAAAACATCAGGAATAAATAAAGGAGATAAAAATAAATTAACACCACTTCATTATTGTTGTGTTTATGGAATGGTTCATCTTATTGATGATATTATTGCAATAGCACCAGAAACATTAAATGCAAGAGATGGATGTGGAAGAACACCATTACATGTTGCAGTAGTAATGAATGATGCAGTTTCAGTAAAAAAATTAATAGAACATGGATGTGATAAAACACAATTAGATATTAGAAAATTAACTGCACAACAATCAGCAATTAATAGAGGATATATTCATTGTTATGAATTAATTTCAGGAGAAACTAAATTTACAACAATTAAAAAAGTAAGAATGGTTAGTGATTTTATGACAGATGAAGAAGAATTATTAAGATTAAAAAGTAATGAAATAGTTGAAGTATATTGGGAACATAAAAAAGGATGGGCAATTGGTGGAATTAATGGTAGATATGGAATGTTTCCACTTGCTAAAGGAACAATAATTGCATTAAATAAAGAAGAAGAAGATAAAATTAATAATGTATTAGCAAATAAAAAAATGGTAAAAAAAGGAGTTGATAGAAAAAATAGATCAGCATCAGTTGCATTTAAAGAAACAAATGAACAAAAGAAAATTAATCAAAAAACAATAGATATTAATCCAACTACTTTATTAGCTTTACAACAACAACAACAATCAATAAAACCTATTAGAAAATCAAGAAAAACTAGAAGTGGAGTAGTTGCACAAGATGTTTAAAAATTAAAATTAATTAATTTTTCTTTTTAAAAATTTATATAATAATATTTAAATTAAAATTTTAAATAAAAAAAAAAAAAAATAATAAATAAAATTAAAAATTAAAAATTAATTAAAATTTTTAAAATAAAAATAAATTTAAAAATACAAATAATTCTAAAAATTTAATTTTTTTCTTCTATTAAAAAATCAAGTCCAATCACTCTTTTTGTTGTAAATCTTGAAGGATAAATACTTCCAGTAAATATAATACCTCCTAATCCTGTTGGATCTTCATATCCTTGAGTAAGTTCACCATTTGCACAATTAGATGAAATATAAGATTTATTTTGTTTAGAATGAATCCAAAATCCTTTTTCTATTCCAAAAACCCATGATTTAGAACCTTTATAAATATCAAGTAATTTATTATTTGTAGAAAGAACATTAAATTTAATATGACCTATATTCATTTTATTTCTAAAAGTAAATAAAAAATGTGCATTATCTGATATTACAGGATAATTTTGTTTTGTTGGAATAATACTATGATATGAACCAAATACATCTCCATCAGTTGTTTCAATAATTAATACAATTGAATTTACAATTTTTAATGTTGTCCATAATATATCTCCTGTAAAACCTTTATTTGAATCATAAATTAATTTACATGTTTTACATCCTATCCATTCTTGTAATGTAGTAATCCATCCTTCTTCAATACCAGTTCCACATGTACGTCTTAATTCTTCTTCTCTAATTAAATCATCATAAATTGCAATATTATTATTAAATTCATCAATTCTTTTTTTTAATGAATCTATTTCTATTGAAATATTATCTTGATAATCTTCTTCTTTTCCAATAACTGTTTCTTTTAAAATTTTCATTAATGTTTTATCTTCAATTTCTTCATCTAAATCTAATTCTTCTTTCTTTCTTTCTTTTTTTTTCTCTTCTTTTTCTATATTTTGATCTTGATTATAATAATATCCATTAATTGTAATAATACCTTTATTATTTATTTTGTTGATTTGAATAACAGACATTTTCTTATTTCTTTTTTAGTTTTTTTCTTTTTGTCTTTTAAAACATTAAAAAAATTTATTTTTTATAAAATTATTATTTTGTTTCTTTTGAAATTTCATTAAATGATCTTCTTAAATCCCAAAGATGTCTAATAGTTTGTCTTCCATGTGGACAATGCCATGGTTTATTTAATTCAACTAATCTTTTTATTATTTTTTTCATTTCTTCTCTTCCTAATGAATCTCCAATCATAATACTCATTCTACATGCTTCTGTAGCAAAAATTTTATGTTTTTTTTTAACAATAACTTTCATATCATTTCTACATCCTTTTAATTGTTGAACTAATTCACTAAATTCATTTATTCCAAAAAAATTTTTTCCTCTATGATAAACTTTAGTAAGAAATACTCTTTGTGTTACTTCTTTATCTTCTCTAAAAATTACTTCAAATCCAAATTGTGTAAAAAGTTCTATATTTTCTTGAACAAATATTTCATCATCACAACTCATTGTTACTTGTAATGGACTAATTAATGTTTGAACACTTAATTTATCTTTTTTTAATAATGTTTCATAATTATAAATTTCATCTGCTGCATGTTGATCAATAATATATAAATCATATCCTAATTTTCCAATAATAAATCCTTTATTAAATTGTCCAATAATTTCAATTTCTTCAAGTGTTGTTTTTTTCATTTTTCTTGGTATTTTTAATATATCTTCTTCTGTTCTTTCTGGTTGACATATTGGATAATCTTTATGACATAAAATCATATGTTCTACAATTCTTTTTAATTCAATTGGTTCAATAATTAATTTATTACTAGCTATATTAATTTTTATATTTTCTTCTTTATTTTCTTTATTTTCTTTTTCTTCTTCTTCTAAAATTTTTTCATTAAATTCTTCTGAAATTGATGTTGATTCTTTATAATTTAATTCTTTATTTTCTTTTATTTCTTCTTGTTCTTTTTTATTTAATTTTTTATTTCTTATATTTATTATTTTTTTATCATCATCTTTTTTTATTTGTTTTTTTAAATTATTTTCTTTTTCTATTTCTTCATTAATTTTTTCTGAAATTATAATAGTATTATTAATTTTATTCATTCTTTCTTCTGTTTTTTGTCTAATAAGATTTTTTTTCTTTTCTTCAATTTCTTTAATTTCTTTTTTTTCTATTTCATATTCTTCTTCATTAATTCCTTTTTCTTTAATCTTTTTATAATCATCTTTTTCTTCTTTTAATATAACTTTTCTTTCATCTAATTCTTTTTCTTCTGAATTTTTTTTTTCATTTAATTTAGATGAAAAGTTTCTAATTTTTTGTAATGAGTTTTCTAATGAACTTTCATCTTTTAAAATATCATCCCATTCATCATTATCATCTTCTTTATTTTCAATTTCTGAAATTTCATTTTGATTTTCATTTATATTATTTTGAATATTTTTTTTTTGTTGTAAAATATTAGTATTAATGATAGAAGAAGATATAATTTCATCTTCTATACTTTCATTTTCATTTTTTAATTGATGAATAGTTATTAAAGGTTTTTCTTTTTGTTTTTCATTAACAATTTGATTATTATTAATATCTTCTTTATCAAAAATATTTTGTGAAATTATTTTTTGTTTTCTTTGATTTATTAAATTTTGAGTTGATTGAGGTAAGAAAGAAATATTAAATGATTTAATTGGAGAAGTATTTTCAATAATACTTGAAGTAGAATAAGAAATATCATTATTAATAGTTGGAATATTTTGTTCTAATAATTCAGTTGACCAAACTGAACTAATACATTTTTCCATTAATTTAAGAACATTATCTTCATTTATAAAAAATACTTTTCTTTTATCAGGAGATACATTAGGATCATATTCATCAACTAAAATATTTAAAATTACAGTAGGATATTTTCTTTTAAATGAAATACCTAATGATCTCCATTGTTGTATAATAATTTGTTGTAATTTTTTATGTTCAATTGGTCTTTTATTTACAAATAAAAAAATTCTATCATTATTAGTTCTTCCTTTATCTATAAAATTAGATACAATTCCTGAAATTTTAATTCCATTTTCTTCAATTTCAATAGGAATAGTAACATCTTTTGCATCTATTTTAAATAAATTATATAAATTTTCTTTTAATGATTTACCATTACTTTGAAGTAAAATATTATTTGATTTTTTAAATTGATGAATAAGAATTATTTTAATATTAATTAACATTAATGCATAATTTTGAATTAATGTTATTATTTTACTTAATTCTTTATTTTTATTTCTCATAAATTCTTCTCTTCTTATTTTATTATTCATAAATAATTTTTTAACTATAATTGTTGTTCCTTGTTTTCTTGTAACTCTTTTTTTAATTCTTGTTGTTAATTGAATTGAATTTCCAATTTCTTTTCCTTCACTACTAATTATTTCAACTTCTCCCATATTTGATATACAATATAATGCTTCTCCTCTAAATCCATATGTATTAACTTTAGTAAGTTCTTCTATATTATTAATTTTTGATGTACAATGTCTTTTTCCTAATAATTCCATATTTTCTTCATTAATTCCACTCCCATTATCTTCTACAATAATACTATCAAGACCATAATTATTTAATTTTATATTAATTATTGTAGCTCCTGAATCTATTGCATTTTCAACTAATTCTTTAATAACACTTTCACAATCAATAACAACACATCCTGAACTTAATTTTTGAATTATTTCTTCATTCATAATATGAATTGTAGTCATTATCTTTTAATGAAATTCAAAATTTTTTCTTCTTATTTTATTTTTTTAATTTTTAAAAAAATTTTATTTTAAAAAATTAAACAAATTAATGTATTTTTTCTTTTTTTTTTCTTTCTTTCTTTCTTTTTTAGTTACCAATAAGGATACCATCCTTGATAACATTGACATAAATTTTCATGTGAAATAGCTTGTTGGATTAATTTATCTACTTGGTTATGTACATCTAATTCATCATTTCCAAAATCTTTTCCAGTTAATTTATCTAAAACTCTTTGAGTAACATTACCAGCTTTTGTATTATAAGCACCAGTCATATCATCAATATCACTAAATAAATCATTTTCATCTTGTTTTTCTATAATTTTAATTTGATTTTCATTAGATTGATTTTCTTGAGATAAAATAGGAGTTTGTTCAGTTCTATCTTTTCCACCAAGAATAGTAACTATTAAAGGATCATAAACAAAAGCTTCTAATACAGCCATTAAACTATCTTTATTTTCTCTAAGGACTGTCATTACAATTTCACATGTCATTCTAAAAGTTCCTTCAATTCCACTAACTTCCATAGCATTAACAATCATTCTAGTTAATCTAAAAGGAATTTTTTCAGGGAATTTTTCTCTATTCATTGCTACTTCAAAACAATCACCAAAATCAATATGAACAACATCACCTGTAAATTTTTGTAACATTAAATTTTGAGGATGTCTATCACCAAGACCAAGAATATAACCAACCATTGACATTAAAGCAACACTTCTTGTAAAATTTGTTCTTCTTTCAAGCCAAATTTCTGATGTACAACTTTTTAACCACATTGCATTTGCTAAATCCATTTCTCTTTCTTTAGTATCTTTTAAAATTCTTTCAAATACTTCAAGTTTTTGTAATGTAGTTAAATTATCATATCTTGGTGCAATTTTATTACATAAAATTTTTTCAGTATCAACTTGAACATTTTTATTATTTCTATATTCTTTTACAAATTGATGAATTGTAATACTATGAGGTACCCATCCAATAAGTCCACTCATTGGACTTAATGGAATAACATCATAACAATGAATAAATAAATGAATTTTTGATGTTTCAGAATTACTTGCTAATAAATCATTTACTAATCCAAATAATTGCATTACTCTTTCATCTTGTCTTAAATCTTCATGACCTTTTAAAACATATTGATATTCTTTTCCATTTGATCCTATAATAGTTAATTTTCTTGGTCTTTGTTTTGATGGAATTACTTCTAAAATAGGATATATTGATTTAATTGTAATTATTTCTGAATTAGCTTTATATGTTCCAGGAACTGCAATATCAAGATCATGTGCTTCAGATAATCTAGGTGCAATTAATGTTAATTCTAATCTATTAATTTTATTAATTGTATTATTTAATTTATTATAAATTCTAGAATAAATTTCCCATGCTATAGCTAAATCATCTATATATTGAATTTCTTCTCCTTCTTTATATTCTTTTTCATATCTTAAACAATATTTAAATGCTTCTATAAGTTCTTTTCCATAAATTAATTTAAATGATTCATCTCTTGGTGTATTTGGTTTTTCTAATTTTTTCATTAATGGTTTAAAAACTTCCATCATTTGTTTAAAATTTTTATTAATATAAAATTCTTTTGATGCTAATTCAATTGCTTCTTTCCACATTTCATATGGAATTATTGCTGCTCCAACAAGTTCTTCACTAACTAACATTGCTTGTTGAACTAAATGTCCACTTTCTTTTTTAATTTTTTCAATAATTGATATTGCTACATCTTTTCTATCTTTATTTGGTGATTTTGATGCAACTGTTAATGCATAAACAATAGCTTGTGGATGTATTTTTCCAATAATTGTTAATAATTCTTTTGTAACTCTTCTAACTGATCCTATTTCTGATTGAATTCTTGCTATAATTTGTGGAATAACATGAAGCCAAATTTCAATAGGTAATTCATTAATTCCACTTGATATTGCATGTTCAACTTCATAATATTTTCCAAATTTAAATAATATTGTTAATAATCTTAATGTATCTTGTAATGTTTGTTTATTATTACTTAAAATTAATGATTGAACAAATGCTTTTACTGTTGTTTCAATATAATTAATCATTTCTTTTTCTTCTTTTTTTATTTTTTTAATTATTTCTTCTATTTGAATTTTTTTTTCTTTTTCTTTATTATTTTTTTTAATTATATTAATTTCTTCTTTTAATTTTTTTTTCATATTTTCATAATAATTAACTACTTCAAAATTTATTAATGCCCATCTATGCCAATATTTATAATTATCTTTATTTAATTGAATTGTTTCTTGATAATGTTTTAAAATAATTTCTATATTTTCTTTATTAAATTCTTTTTTATTTTGTGATATATTTAATTTCCATTCTCCAAGTTGAGAATAAACTTGTGATTTAACTTCTTTATTTTTTGTTTTTTTATTAATAACTTCTTTATATTCTTCTAATAATTTATACATATTTTCTTTTTCTTTAATATTTTTTGTATTTTTCCACATTAATTTTAAATATTTTACTCCTACTTCAAAATTATCTTTTGGTAATGTTTCTATTTTAGCTTCTATTTTATGTCCTGCTATTTTATTTAATGCTTTAAATGCAAGTTCTTCTTCTCCCATTTTATCTATTATTCCTGTAAAACTAATCCAATTTTTAATATTTTCATGTTTTGTACTAATTAATTCTCTCATTTTTAATATTTTTTGCCATGTTTTAATATCTTTATGTGATTTCATTAATCTTTCATTCCATCCTTTCATTATTATTTCTTTATTTATATTTCTTTTTTTTTCTTTTATTTCTATAATTTCTTCTAATTCTGTAATCATTTCTGCTTTTGTTAATGCTCCATATATTCTTTCATATCCTTCTGTTGCTAATACACTAAATTCATTTCCTAATTGTTTTTGATTATTTTCAATTATTTTTTTTACTTTTTCAATTTCTTTTTCTTTCATTTCTTTTTTTTCTCTTTCTCCAATTCCTTGTTTTTTATCTATTTCATCAATTAAATGAATACTTATAATTATATTATAAATTGTTCCTTCAAATCCTTCTATTTTTTTAAATATTGGATTTTCTATTATTGATTTAAGTCTTTCCCATTTATTTAAATAAAATGATGATGCTGCAACCATACTTCCCATTTTTTTAATTTCTTTTTCATTTAATTTCCATTTTTTATTTTCTTCATCCCAAAATTTATTTGCTACTTCATCTAATGCTTCCCAATCTCCCATTTCATATAAACATTTCATTTTAACTTCTTCATTTTTACTTTCTTCTTCTAATTTATTTAATGCTTTATGCCACATTCCTAATTTTGCATACCATGTAGAATTTAATTTCATTTCATTTTGTTTTTCTGCCATTTGAATTAATCCATTTGCTGCATCTTGTCTTTGTAATTGATTATTAAGTCCAATTAATTCTTCAAATATTGCTTGTTTTTCTGTTGTTTCTTCTTCTCCAAGTGTATTTCTTCTTATTTGATTTTCTTTATTTTTAAGTCCTTTAAATTCTATTTCTTTATAATGAAGTGCTTTTGCATATGCTCCAATTGTTTTTGCTTTATCTCCAAATTCTATCATTGGTTCAATAAGTCCTTCATGTTCAAGAAATTCTGCTAAATTTAATATTAATGATACTGCTTCATGTGTAATTGTTGGTTGTTTAATTGCAATTCTCATTTTTTGAATTAATTCATTTCTTTGTTTTTGATCTTGTGCAATATAAACTGAATAAAATGTACAATTAAATAAATCTCTTGCAACTGTTGAATTACTATTATTAGCAATATCTTCACATTTACTTAATATTCTTGATGGATTTGATTTTAAAAATACTAATGATATTTTTTCTACCCAATCACTCCATTCTTCTTTTTTTGATCTTTGTGTACATGAATCCCATACTGCTGTAATTTTTCTATAATTTTCTTTCTTTTTTTCTTCATTTTTATTATTTTCTTTTTCTTCTTCACTTCCACTTATTATTCTTGTTTGTTCTCCACTTCCTCTTCCTCCATTTATTCCTCCATTTCCTCCTTTACTATTTATTGAAATACTTTTTCTAATTTTTTCAATACTTTCTTCTAATACTATTCCTGATTTACATGGATGTTCTACAATTGCTGCTCTAACAACTGGATGAAATACAAAATATTGTGTTCCTAATTTTGTTGCTAATGTTGATAATCCCATAACTACACTATCACTTAATTCTTCATTTCCAATAAGTCTTGATGTTGTAAATATAATTCTTCCTGCATATTCTCCTATATTAACACATGTAAAAAATCTAAAAATATATTGTAATATACTTTGTCTTAATCCAACACTAACTTGTTCTCCAAGTAATTCTAAAAATACTGGTATAATTATATATAAACTATCATCTATATTTAATCTTTCTGCAAATGTTAAAAAACATTTTAATATCATTGGTGCTTTTACTTTACTATCATCTTCTTTTTTACTATATTTTATTTTTGTTAATTCACTAAGTAATATTGGAATAATTGTTGGAAGATATTGTTTAAATTCATCTTTAATACTTAATGCTGCTTCATGACAAAATGCACATGCTTCTCCAAGTATATTTCCATCCCAATATTTTTTTATTAATTCTATTAATTTTGGTAAATATGTATCTCTTATTGTTTTATCTCCTAATGGTAAAATTGTTCCTATTCCTTTAATAACATCTGGTCTTATACTTGTTGTACATGTTTTAAATACTTTAACATATGTTGAAAATATATATGAAACAAGTGGATAAAATAATTGATGTTGATTTTTATTCATCATTTTTAATATATTTCCTATTGTATTAATACATGATATATGAATTGACATCATTGTATTATCTTTTAATAATTTTGTTAATGTAGAAATAATTGTCCATGCATAATATTCATCTGGTTCTTTTGATAAAATAGGAATTTGAATTTCTATATTTTCTTC